TTTTGTTGCTTGATTGCTGAGGCTAGGACTTCTAGTACTATGTTGAATAGCAGTGGTGAGAGTGGACATCCTTGTCGTGTTCCTGATCTTAGGGGAAAGGCTCCCAGTGTTTCCCTATTGAGAATGATAATGGCCTTGGGCTTTTCGTAGATCACTTTTAAGATGTTGAGGAATGTTTCCTCTATCCCTACACTATGAAGAATTTTGATCAGGAATAGATGCTGTATTTTGTCAAATGCTTTCTCTGCATCTATTGAGAGGATCATATGGTTCTTGTTTTTTCTCTTGCTGATATGATGAATCACGTTGATGGCTTTACGAGTGTTGAACCAGCCTTGCATCCCAGTTATAAATCCCACTTGGTCATGGTGAATAATCTTCTTAATGTATTGTTGGATCCTGTTGGCTAGTATCTTGTTGAGAATTTTTGCATCCGTGTTTCTCAGGGATATTGGTCTATAATTCTCCTTTTTGGTGGGGTCTTTGTCTGGTTTTGGAATTAAGGTGATGCTGGCCTCATAGAACAAGTTTGGAAGTACTCCATCTCTTTCTATCTTTCCAAACAGCTTTAGTAGAATAGGTATGGTTTCTTCTTTAAACGTTTGATAGAATTCCCCTGGGAAGGCATGTGGCCCTGGACTTTTGTGTCTTGAGAGGTTTTTGATGACTGCTTCAATTCCCTCCCTTGTTATCAGCCTGTTCAGGTTTTCTATTTCTTCCTGTTCCAGTTTGGTAGTTTGTGGTTTTCCAAAAATGCATCATTTCTTCTAGATTGCCTAATTTATAGGCGTATAGCTGCTCATAATAAGTTTTTAAAATCGTTTGTATTTCCTTGGTATTGGTTGTGATCTCTCCTTTCTCATTCATGATTTTATTAATTTGAGTCTTTTCTCTCTTCTTTTTAATAAGGCTGGCTAATGGTTGATTTATTTTATTAATTCTTTCAAAGAACCAACTCCTGGTTTTGTTGATCTGTTCCACAGTTCTTCTGGTCTCTATTTCATTGAGTTCCGCTTGAAACTTTACTAATTCTCTTCTTCTGCTGGGTGTAAGATCTATTTGCTGTTTTTTCTCCAGCTCTTTTAGGTGCAAGAGTAGCTTTTGTATTTGAGTTCTTTCCAGTTTCTGGATGGATGCTTGTATTGTAATGTATTTCTCCCTCAGGACTGCTTTTGCTGTATCCCAAAGATTTTGAATGGTTGTATTCTTCATTCTCATTAGTTTCTATGACTCTTTTTAATCCTTCTCTACTTTCCTGGTTGACCCTTTCATCTTTTAGCAGGATGGTCCTTAACCTCCACGTGTTTGAAATATTTCCAAACTTTCTTGTGATTTAGTTCTAGTTTCAAAGCATTATGGTCTGAAAATATGCAGGGGACAATCCCAACCTTTGGGATTGGTTAAGACATTATTTGTGACCCAGTATGTGGTCTATTCTGGAGAAAGTTCCATGTGCACTTGAGAAGATTGTGTATTCAGTTGCGTTTGGATGTAAAGTTCTATAAATATCTGTGAAATCCATCTGGTCCAGTGTATCATTTAAAGCTCTTGTTTCTCCGGAGATGTTGTGCTTAGAAGTTCTGTCGATTATAGAAAGCGCTGTGTTCAAGTCACCAAGTATAAGTGTATTATTATATAAGTATGGCTTAAATTTGGTTATTAATTGATTGATATATTTGGCAGCTCCCACATTCAGGGCATAAATATTCATGATTGTTAGGTCCTCTTGTTGGATAGATCCTTTAAGTATGATATAGTGTCCCTCTTCATCTCTTACTACAGTCTTTGGGATAAACTTTAATTTATCTGATATAAGGATGGCTACCCCTGCTTTTTTTGAGGACCATTTGAATGGTAAATTGTTCTCCAACTTTTTATTTTCAGGCTGTAGGTGTTCTTAGGTCTAAAATGATTCTCTTGTAGACAGCAAATAATGGGTCTTGCCTTTTTATCCCGTCTGAAACACTGCACCTTTGATGGAGTCATTAAGCCCACTCACGTTCGGAGCTACTATTGAAAGATATGAATTAAGTGTCATCATGATACCTATTAAGTCCCTGTTTTTTTGGATTGTTTCCTTGGACTTCCTGTTTTACAGAGTCCCCCTTAATATTTCTTGGAGAGCTGGTTTGGTGGTCACATATTCTTTCAGGTTCTGCCTATCTTAGAAGCTTTTTATCTCTCCTTCTATTCTGAATGAGAGCCTTGCTGGATAAAGTATTCTTGGCTGCATGTTCTTCTCATTTAGGACCCTAATACTAACCCTAACCTAATACTTCTCCCCATAAAGGTTAGAGATCTCTTGTCTCTTGCTGCTTAAGGATCTTCTCTTTATCTTTGGATTTGCAAGTTTCACTATTAAATGTTGAGGTGTTGAGCGGTTTTTATTGATTTTAGGGGGGAAATCTCTCTATCTCCTGGATCTGAATGCCTATTTCCCTTCCCAAGTTAGGGAAGTTATCAGCTATGATTTGTTCAAATACACTTTCTGGACCTCTGTCCCTTTTGGCCCCCTCGGGAACCCCAATTAAACGTAGATTTTTTCCTTCTGAGGCTGTGATTTATTTCCCTTAACCTATCCTCATGATCTTTTAATTGTTTTTCTCATTTTTCCTCAGCTTCCTTCCTTGCCATTAACTTGTCTTCTACGTCACTCACTCGTTCTTCTACCTCATTAACCCTCATCATTAGGACCTCCAGTTTGGATTGCATCTCATTTAATTGATTTTTAATTTCGGCCTGATTAGATCTAAATTCTGCAGTCATGAAGTCTCTTGAATCATTTATGCTTTTTTCTGGAGCCACCAGTAGCTTTATAATTGTGCTTCTGAATTGGCTTTCTGACATTGAATTGTAATCCAAATTTTGTAACTCTGTGGGAGAGAGTAGTGTTTCTGATTCTTTCTTTTGTGGTGACTTTTTCCTTCTAGTCATTTTGCTCAGTGCAGAGTGGCCAAAAGCAAGTTGTACTGTAAAACGGAGAAAAAGAGAGAAAGAAAAAGCGGGGGGGGGGGGGACACAAACAAAACAAAAAACAAGGGGGAGTATCCTCTGATTGTATATAGTGTAAATCCCTCTACTTCCCCTGGAACTCTCCAGGGCTGCTTGGTCAATAACTTGCTTTTCCCTGTCCTTCCAGCTGGTCTTCTGGGGGAGGGGCCTGCTGTGCCTGATTCTCAGGTGTGTGCACCTGGGGGAGCTGTCCAGCCCCTGCCAGGTGCACGGCTCAGTGGGAGCTGTTCATCATGTGAGGCCCCTGCTCAGTCCCAGGTACAAGGTGACACCAGGAGGAAGAACAACAGTGGCGGCGGCCAGCTCTCCAGCTCTGGAGTCAGCTCCCGTAGTAACTATGGCAACTCCCAATCCGCAGGGGCTCCCAGTCCGCAGGGGCCTGGATGCTCTGGGGGCGGGGGGACGGGGGCGCCGATCTGCACAGCTTGGGGGCGCCCGGCGGCAGGAGCACCCTTGCTGTCCTGTGTCCTCCTGGCCTCTGCCTGTCCCGGGGAATGCTGGATCTTGGGCTGTGTCCCCCAGCGCCCTTGACTCCGGGGCCTGCACCACAGGAATCATGCTCGGGGCTGCGCAGCCCCCTCTGCACGGAGCCACCACCTGAGCTGCTCCCAGGGCCCCACCGGGGGCGCGCTCCAGCTCTTTAGGGAGTTCGGTCTGCATTGTGTGGTGTGCTCTCCCCCGGGGCACAGTTCCTCTGTTAGTGACCCCTGGGAGCCTGAGGATATCCCTGCCCCTCCTGGGATCCTGTTCGAGCTCCCTGCGAGCGCCTTTCCATCTGGGAAGATTGGTAAAGTTTCTGCTCTGGGACTGGCTCTCCTGTCCTGGGGGCACTCCCCGTGGGGCCTTAGCCCAGCTCCTCGCGGGGGGCCCCTCCCCCTTGGATGCTTTTTTATTTCTTTATTTTTTTCCGTCTTCCTACCTTGATAGAAGCACGAACTCTTTTCACTGTAGCGTTCCAGCTGTTCTCTCTTTAAATCTCAGGCCGAATTCATAGGTTTTCAGGATGATTTGAAAGTTATCTAAGTAAGTTGGCAGGGATAGGTGACTTGGGGACCCTACTCTTCCGCCATCTTGCCCCGCCTCCTTTTTATTTACTTTTTAAAAATATTTATTTCTTCATGAGAGACACAGAGAAAGTGGCAGAGACATAGGCAGAGGGAGAGGGAGAAGCAGACTCCCTGCAGGGAGCCCAATGCAGGACTCTATCCCAGGACCCCAGGATCATGACCTGAGCCAAAGGCAGATGCTCAACCACTGAGCCACTCAGGCACCCTGTTTTTGTTTTTTTGGTTTTTTTTTTTTTTTTTTAGATGCCACATATGAGTGAAATTATATGGCTGACTTAAGGAACCCTCTTACACTGTTGGCGGGAATGCAAACTGGTGCAACCACTGTGGAAAACAGCACGAGTTTCCACAAAAATTAAAAGTAGAAATACCTTATGATCCAATATTTCCACTATTGGGTATTTGCCCAAAGAAAACCAAAACACTAACCTGAAAAGATACATGCACCCCTATGGTCACTACAGCATTATTTACAAGAGCCAAGATATGGAAACAGCCCAAGTGTCCATCACTGATAGATGAATGGATAAGGAAAAGGCACCATATATACACAATGGATTATTACTCATCCATGAAAAAGGATAAGCTCAAGCCATGTGTGACAGCATGGATGGATGCTAGGTGAAAAAATCTTAAGGCATTGGCACCTGCCTTTGGCCCAGGGCGCAATCCTGGAGACCCGGGATCGAATCCCACATCGGGCTCCCAGTGCATGGAGCCTGCTTCTGTCTCTGCCTCTCTCTCTCTCTCTCTCTCTCTCTCTCTCTCTCTCTCTCTCTCTCTGTGTGTGTGTGTGTGTGTGTGAGACTATCATAAATAAATAAAAAATAAATAAATAAAAATAAAAAAATAAAAATAAAAATCTTAAGGTGACAACAATCTAACAGCCACTTTTCTTTTTCTCTGTCTCTCCCACCCCAGCCTAGGACCTTCACCGTCCCTATGTTCCGTCCTGGCCCACAGGGCAGCTCCATGGATAACAGGCCTGACTCTGGGTACCTAGAGCTCTGTCTTTGCCCACAGAGTGGAAGGTAAATGAGGTCCCTTACAAGGACACCTATCACATTCCCTGAAACAAAGGAAGAGCCCCTCCAGGCCAGGAATTCCTTAGTCAGAATCCCTTTGTTTAGTCAGTTTTCATATTTTTTTCATTCATGAACTTGAATAATATCCAGACACACAGATGCTTTCTGACAGGTTTGAGTATGGGGATTGGACATTACTTTGCCCAGTGATGCTAGTTCCTGATCTTCCCATTTACGGATTTCTCACCTCCCACCAGCAGACCTAAAGGAATGTGTGGGCCTTATCACTGTAGAAGGACAGTGTCTGAAAATCACCCAAATATACAGACTGAGTCATGACAAGGTGCATCCACATTTTCTGTCCCTTCCAGGCCAGTGCTTGGCAACACCAGGAAATTCAGAGTTTCCTACAAGAATGGGGAAATCCTTGGAAAGGAGTTTCATCTTGAGTCAAGGAAGAAGAATCACATCCTGACAAGGATAATCACTTTGTGCCCAAGCCCAGGGCCATAAAGAAGAGTAGCAACAATGTCCCCTGATGCTGATGCATTCACAGAATTTACAACAGACTGACTATACAGGAGGCTGACAAATGAACCCTGGCCCATCCTTATGGAGAAGCCCTGCAACAGACCCTGGGCCAGAACTGGGAGGAAAGGTCTCCTCAGGTAAGTCTCTTCTAAATTCTACTTTATGGCCCTTTAGTGACCAACAAGGACTGACCCAGCCACTACATGGTGCCCTGAGTAGGGTGGAGAATTATGAGACCAGCTTCTGCCCATGATCCCATTTTCATTAGACTGGAAAGGACTTAACACTCTGAGCTTGTCCCTGCCTCTCTTTTCTGGTTGTTCCTCAGCACCTGGGCCTGGGTGTCTCAGTTGGTTAAGTATCTGCCTTCAGCTCAGATCATGATCCTAGGGTCCTGGGATTGAATCCTGCATCAGGCTTCCTGCTCAGCAGGGAGTCTGCTTCTACCCCTCTCACCCTTCTCTGGTCATCCTCTCTCTCAAATTTATAAATAAAATCTTTTTTAAAAATTTAAAAAATAAATGAAATTTTATATTGGCATGATAAAACTGAATGCTGGAAAAAGTAATTGTGTTATTATAGAAGATAGTATATATGTATATTTCTTATCTTTTTCTTAATTGATTTAAAAGTAATAATATAAAATAATATGCATGTAATGTATTGTCAGGTCTAACATTTAGAAATGTATATTGGTCAATAACAGCACAAAGAAGGTAGGTAGAAGCAAAGCTCTTTGGGGATAAGAAAATTACTCAAGATAGTAACTGGAATCCACAGAAACAAATGATGAAAACCAAAAATGGTAAATAATGAGGTTAATATAGAAAAGCTATAAATATTTGCTTATTCTCCTATCTTTTGTCAGCTTCTTCAAAAGTTATGACATTACATAATAACCATAACAATGTACTTGTTGGATTTGTAACATTTATCGATGTAGTGTGTATAACAGAAATGCTACAAAAGGGGGTGAAAAGGAATAATTATGTATCTCCCTGGAATTAAGTTACAAAAAATCTGAAGCTGATTTTAGTAAACTAAAATGTAGAAGGTAAGCCCTAGAGGAAACACCACAGAAACAACTTAAAAAATTATAGTGAAAAAGATAGAAATTGAAATGATATTTTGTAGAATTTCGATTTACTGTAAAATGAATAGAAGAACAAAAAATATATAGAACATATAGGAAAAAAAAGCAAAATACAGTTGTAAATAAAACTGTGTCAATAAAAGCCTTAAATTTGAATGGATTATAACACATTCAAAAGGTGAGATTGTCAGTCTAGAGAAGGCAAAACAAGATTGAACCATATACTGTGTACAGGAAACATATATTAGATTCAAAGATACAAATAGATTGAATATAAAAGGATGAATATATTCATGCAGAGAATAATCAAACTAAAGCTGGAGTAGCTATACCAATATAAGACAAGATAGACTTTAAGACAAAAAATGTTGGGATACCTGGATGGCTCAGTCAGTGAAGTCTCCAACTCTTGATTTCAACTCAAGTCAGGATCTCAGGGTTGCGAGATCAAGCTGGGTATCAGGCTCTCCAGGAGGCTTGGAGCCTGTTTAGGAGTTTCTCTTTCCCTCTCCCTCTGCACCCCCCCCCAAAAAAAAGAATGTTACTAGAGATGAAGAAAAACATTTTGTAGTGATGAAAAAGCCATTCCATTAAGAATATAGAATATAATTAAGGGAGTAAACCATTCTGCATTCTTCTCAGTAATGTATGACTGTTCTGGTTGTACCATATCCTTGTCTGCACTTGGCATTGTCAGTCTTTTAAATTTTAGGCTTTCTTGGTGCATGTGTGTATATGTGTGCATGTGCGCACATGGATGTATGATGATGTCTCGTGGTTATAATTTGCATTTCCCCAATAATTTTGTTTTTGTTTTTGTTTTTATTTATGATAGAGAGAGAGAGAGAGAGAGAGAGAGAGAGAGAGAGGCAGAGACACAGGCAGAGGGAGAAGCAGGCTCCGTGCCGGGAGCCCAATATAGGACTCGATCCCGGGACCCCAGGATCACGCCCTGGGCCAAAGGCAGGCGCTAAACCACTGAGCCACCCAGGGATCCCCCAATAATTAATTTTGAATAGCTTTTTATGTGGTTAATTAACATCTGTGTATCTTCTTAGGTGAAGCATTCAGATCTTTTTGGGGGACCTATTTGTCTGTGAATGTTCTTTATATATCTTGCATTAAAGCCCTTAATTAGAAAAGAAGGTATAGTAATTAAAAACATATACACACCTAATAACAGAGCACTAAAAACATTAAGCAAAAACTGACAGAAAACGGGGCCCCTGGGTGGCTTGGTCAGTTAAGTGTCTAACTCTTGATTTTGGCTCAGGTCATGATCTCAGGGTTATGGGATCCAGCCCCACATCAGGCTCCATGCTAATCAGGGAGCCTGCTTGAGATTCAAATAAATAAACAAATCTTTAAATATATATGGTTGCTTAGGATTGGGGGTATAAAAGGGAATGGGACAGTGATAGCTGGAGTGTGGGGTATTGTTTTGTTTTGTTTGTTGATGAAAATGTTCCACAATTGCCTATGGTGTATTATGCTGAGTGAAATAAGTCAATCAGAGAAGGACAAACATATGGTCTCATTCATTTGGGGAATATAAAAAATAGTGAAAGGGAATAAAGGGGAAAGGAGAGAAAATGAGTGGGAAATATCAGAGAGGGTGACAGAACATGAGAGACTCCTAACTCTGGGAAATGAAGAAGGGGTGGTGGAAAGGGAAGTAGGCAGGGGGTTGAGGTGACTGGGTGACGGGCACTGAGGGGGGCGCTTGATGGGATGAGCACTGGGTGTTATGCTATATATGTTGGCAAATTGAACTCCAATAAAAAGAAATTTTTAAAAAATTGCCTATGGTGATGGCTGCACATACCTTTTGAATATACTAACAACCAGGCTTTGGGCAAGCTTCCAGAAAGCAAGACACTGACTGCATGGTCCACTTATCTCTTTCCCTCCGAGGTAGAAGCTGAGAGTTGGGAGCTTTGTCCTGAAAGTGCTTTACTAGGCCAGGCAAGGGGAGTGGCTAAGGTGAATAAAATGTCACCAGTTTCACCATCCACCCCGATGCATTTCTTATTGGCTTTGCACTCACCTGGGGTACTGCAATATCTTAACTGCTTTCTGGAGTTCTCAAAAGCAGTTTGTTCCATGTCTTTGTTAGTCAGAGTCTCTGTCAGAGAATGAAGGCCTGCTGACATCATTCCTCTGGGTTCAGGGTTCTTTTATTTTGTTGTACCTCTGAGGTTTCTAATGAGAAGTCTACTTTCATTCAATTTTTTCCCCTTTATACACGAGGTGTTATTTTTCTCCCTAACCTTTTTCAAGATTTTTCTTTGACTTTAGTTTCCAGAAGTTTAACTATGATGTGTTTGGTATAGATTTCTTTGGTTTTATGCTTTTGGAGGGTTAACTCAGCTTCTTGAATGCATAGACTTATGTCTCCTGATAAACTTGGGAATTTTCAGCTAAAAATGCTTCAAAGACTTTGCAGGCGAATCTTCTTTCTCCTCTCTTTTCTACACTCAGATGACATGTTAGATCTTTTGTTATAATCCCACAGAACTTGAGGCTCTCTTCATATTTTTTTTCAGTCTATTTTCTCTCCTTCCTTAAGATTGAATAATTTATATTACTTTAAGTCCATAGATACTTTTCTCTTCACCCAGTTCTGCTCTTGAGCCTGTACTCAAGCTTTAAAATTTTCACTTACTATGTTGTCAATTCTAAAATTTCCTTTTGTTTCTTCTTTATTTCTTTTTTATTCCTTTGCTGAGACTTTAAATTTCTTAGCTAAGACTCTGCTTTTTGTTCCATACATTTGCATGCATAATTGCTCACTGAAGTATTTTAATGATGGCTGCTTTAAAATCTTTGTTAGAGGGACACCTGATGGCTCAGGGGTTGAGCATCTGCCTTTGGCTTAGGGCCACAGGATCTAGTCCCACATCCTGCTCCCCATAGGGAGCCTGCTTCTCCCTCTGCCTGTCTCTGCCCCTATGTGTCTCTCATGAATAAATAAATATAATCTTTTTAAAAAATAAAATATTTCTTTGATTATTGTAATATATGTAACCAACTTGTTTACGTCTTGTCTTTTTTTTTCATTCAAGTGATCTTCCTTGTTCCTGGTCTGATAAAAATCTTTTGTTTGAAAAAAAAAGTCTTTTGTTGAATTCTGGACATTTTGAATATTGCTGTGAAACTCTGGATCTTATCTGAATCTTCTGTCACCTGGCTTGCTTTGATACTGCCCTAGCAAAGGAAGAGGAAGTGCTACTTCATTATGGCCATGGAAGGTAGAAGCCCAACTTACCCATTTAGCCCCTTTAAATACCCAGGGAGATAAAGGTTTCCTTTTGGTAGAGGTGGGATTTCTAGTTCTTTACTAGGCCTTCACTAATATTATTCTTGCTGAGAGGTTAGAGTGCCTTGTAGCTACTGTTTGGCCTTAGATAACACCATAAAGTGGGATTGTGGCCTCATTACTGCTAGGCTGAGTGAAAGTTTTCGTTCTGCAGTAGGCTCCTCTGATACCACCCCACAAGGGAGGGGTAGGTGATGCTTTCTTACTGTTGAGTGGGAGTGAGGGACGTCCAGGTTCTTCATATGGTCTCCACTATCATTGCTGAGAAAGTGGGGTGTTTATTGCCAGCCAGGATGGATGCATGTCCTAGCTCTTGGCCTTTTCTGACACCACCCAGCAGGATTTTATGACCCCTCTTTACAGCCTTATAAGTCAGTAAGTCTAAGCTCCTCAGTCAGTCTTTGCTGCTGTGGATAGTGATAGGACCATTTTTTTTTCTATATTGTTTGGTTGGAGTAGAGTGGTTATTGTCTAGGAGTTTTTTTTTTTTTTATCTTCCTAGAGGTACCCCTTCCTTAGCCCTTTGATTAAAGAAAGCATGCTCTTGTTGAGGCTTTGCAATATTTTATTTCTGTCTATTGGTGTTTCTGAGTTCCTGCTTCTTTAGCTCTGAGTCTGGGGCATATGAGGCAAAAAAAAACCCTGCAATCACCGTATCATTCCTCTTATTCCTGAGGTTCCTACCTAGACCTATCTCCTCTCCACTTTTCAGTCTTTTTCTGTTTGATTGATTGATTGATTGATTGATTGATTTAGAAGTAAGGAGGAAATACAGTGATAGGGCGTTGGGGTGTGAGTGGCTTATTGGTTCCTTTAGAGTGGATGGTCAAGAAAGGCTCCATGAGGAGACATTTTTTTTTTAATTTTTATTTATTTATGATAGTCACAGAGAGAGAGAGAGAGGCAGAGACACAGGCAGAGGGAGAAGCAGGCTCCATGCACCGGCAGCCCGACATGGGATTCGATCCCAGGTCTCCAGGATCGCGCCCTGAGCCAAAGGCAGGCGCTAAACCGCTGCGCCACCCAGGGATCCCTGTTTGTTTTATATATAATGTATAGGGTTTTTAGATGTACTTAGTGGAGAAAAATAGGGAAAATTATGTCCGTCTATTCTATGTTCTTAAAGCAATTTGACTTTTAGGTTGAAAATTTTAGTTCATAATGTATAATTTATTTTATCTAACAATATATGTCAATATTGTTACTAACAATTTGATTGATGAAAATAGGATTTCATTGTAGTTTTTTGTGCTCATCTCAACATGTTTACACAAAAATGCATAAGATGAAAATTTTAAATTTTGAGTTGATCTACACCATTAGGAACCATAATGCAGGAGATGAAACAACATAGTGGAATTTGTAGAGTTGAAACAGCCAGAGACTATGTAACTTGAAGCAGAATGGGGGCAGGAAAATATGCAGGTCTCTTGAGTCTTTGTCCAGCATTCCCACAGAAAGTTTTCTCTCAAAATAAAAAACATTTTTGTATAGCTCTTAGAAAATGTGTTCCTGAAACACTTGATTTTATAACCTGAAACATACTGACCTACAATACTAACTGAATCATATCTTCTAATTTCAAAAGTATAATTGCACCTTGATTTTGAAAAATATCATGTGGTCAGCTTTAAGAACTTTATCATCTGTGGCATTTGGCAAAAAAACAGGGCAATGGTCAAGCATCCAGAATAAAGCCAGCCTCTGTTCTTTTTAGTACTTCTCACTGAGAACATTTCTCACAGACTCTCCCAACCCCCACTCCTGAGAACCAGTCTTTCAGCCAGTTTCATGAGCCAGAAATTATCAAATCATCCTTTGGTCTCATCAGACAACATAGTCTGCAAAATGACCATTTGCTCCTCAAACATCAACAGTGATTTAATATCTAAAGGATCTTATCCCAGCTATTAACAGTCTCAGACAGCACTCAAGGTCTCTGATAACCTACTTCTAGCTTTCATATCCAATATTGTTTTTTTCTCTTATCCTATCAGGAGCCCTCCAATACCAGCAAGGCTGGTTTCCCCACTGGTTCCTACAGGTGCTGTATTCACTCTCCCAGTAGTCTTCTGTTCCTCTAGGACACCTCTCCAAGTGTTAGGACTCTACCCATTCTTCAGATTTGAATGATAAAAACTCTGTGCTGAGTTCTTAGAATACAGTCTTGGTCACTTCAGGCTTGTATTTATTAAGGAAGAAACCTGATCTTGTACACACACACACATACATACACACATGATGATGTATTATGACCAAGTAGGATTTAGTTCAGGACTGTGATACTGGTTAACATAAAAATTCAGTCAATGTTCTTCTCCATTAAAGTATGAAGAGAAAAACAATATGATCATCTTGATCCAAAGCAGAAAATGAGTATGACATAATATTACCATTTATGATAAAAATTCACAGCACACTAGGAATATACGGGAATGTCCTTATTGTGATTAGAGATATCCACAAATTAAAGCTAATTGTGAGAACACATAGCCACAAATTAAAGCTAACATATTAAATGGTAAAATACTGAATGTTATTATTTGTATTCACCATTGCACTGGCATATGCCATATGGTACTATAATGTAAGAACAAAATTTAAAAGGTATTACAAGTAGAAAAGAAAAAACCTGATGGCCATTGTTTACGGATGATGATTGTGTATGAAGAAAATCCAAAATATACAAATAAGCTATTAGAAAAAAAGTGAATTTATCAAAATTACTGGATAGGTCAATATACAAAAACCAATTGTATTTCTATGTACTAATAATAAATAATTGAAAAATGAAGTTTAAAAAATTCTGTTTACAGTAATATAGTGAGCACATTGTGCCTTCTCATGCCTCCTTGTCATTGCATGAACTTCTCTTATGTGAATGCCTTTCCATCTACCTCCACACACCTGTTGAACTCTTACATTTCTTTCCTGTCTCAGGCTTATCACTCTTATAGCATGAGTGCTTTCTTCCCCTTCCTAAATAATTTTTAAACTCTAATTCATGAGCAATTTTTTTCTTAAAAAAACAAAAAGGAACAGGTGCCAAACATATAAAAGTGCAGCTTTTAAAATTATTTTTTAAGGGACGCCTGGGTGGCTCAGAGGTTGAGCCTCTGCGTTTGGCTCAGGACGTGATCCTGGATTTCCAGGATCAAGTCCCACATTGGGCTTCCTGAATGGAGCCTGCTTCTCCCTCTGCCTGTGTCTCTGCCTCTGTGTCTCTCATGAATAAATAAAATCTTTAAAAAAATAATAAAAATAATAAAATTATTTTTTAAATGATTTTATTTATTTATTCATGAGACACCCACAGGGAGAGAGCCTTTGCAGTCTGAATTTTTTTTAACATTTGAAAACCACAATACATGCTTTTATTTCATGAAATGGATTCCTTTTTGAGACTTTGCCATAGTGACATGTCCTTTAAATTATTTCTTAGGATTTCTTGTGCAGCCAACTAAAAAAATATTAATAACTTTAACCTTGAAGTGACTGCCAAAAAATTTATATTTTTCTACTTAAATTAACATACTGTTGAGAACACAGCAAGTACAGTTCAATAATAAATTACTTCAAGGCAACAAAGAAAAGTAATTATGAGAACAAAATTAATTGTTTAAAAACATTTTGGGAGACTGTTAGATATAGTTTGGAAATAACTAAAAGAATAGAGGAAAAAGAGAACACATTTTATTTCTCCTTTTTAATGAAAACCACGCACAAAGTTTGACAACAATTTAGGAAAAGGCAAATTCCAGAGACTGAGGTAGTTTGCAGATTTTTTTTATCTATTATTTGGTCTACATATGCATATATATATTTTCTTACATATGCATATATTTTAAGATCAATTCTGTTTGCTACTAAAATGTTAGTTCTAATAAAGATGCTACTGGCTTAAATAGTTGGTGTCTTTCTAATGAGAAACCCAGCACTCCTACACCCAGATTTTTCTCATTTTTACATATCACATATAGTGTATAATGCTGCATAAATAGATAGAAAAACCCCTTTTATCTTACAAATGGTCCAAACTGTGATTTTGCATTCAAATTGCCATTGTGATTTCCTTGTCTTGGGATGTTTTAAAAAGTGACTGGCAGGTATGAAAAATTTCCAGATACTTCTACATAGTCAAAGCTTTTTATCCTTAAGAATTTAATATCTGACAAAGACAAAATTTAAATAGAAAAGTTTTCTCATGTTCATTACATTTATTAAATCAATCTCGAGTATCTATACTCTGCTGAGCTTTGGTTTAAGGCTTTCACACATGCAAATCTACTTTCAAGGAATCCTCTTCGATGTGGATTTTATAATGATTAGTAAGGGACGACCTCTGGCTGAAAAGTTTCCCACATGCATTACATTCATACGGTTTCTCTCCAGTATGAATTCTCTGATGGGCAATAAGTGACGAGCTCTGTCTAAAAGTTTTTCCACATGTATGACATTCAAAGGGCTTCTCTCCTGTGTGAATCCTTTGATGCTGAATAAGAGCAGCACTTTGGCCAAAAGATATCCCACATTCCAAACATCGATATGGTTTCTCTCCGGTGTGAATTCTCTGATGATTACTGAGGGATGAGTTACACCGAAAGGTTTTCCCACACTCGTTGCATTTATAGGGTCTTTCTCCGGTATGCATCCTCTGATGCTGAATGAGAGCTGAACTCTGTCGGAAGGCTTTCCCACACACTTTACATTTACACGGCTTCTCCCCCGTGTGAATTCTTTCATGAATGATGAGCGTCGAGTGGGAACTTAAGGCTTTACCACATTCATTACAGTTATACAGTTTCTCACCAGTATGAATTATTCGGTGTCTGTTGAGTCGTGAAATGGAAGTAAAACCTTTTCCACATTCATTACATCGATAGGGCTTCTCTCCAGTGTGAATCCTCTCATGCTGGATGAGAGAGGCACTCTGACTAAAGGCCCTCCCACACTCACTACACTTAAAAGGCTTCTCTCCTGTGTGAATCCTCTGATGGTAACGGAGGGATGAGCTAGACTTAAAGGTGTTGCCACATTCGTTACATAAATAAGACTTCTTCCTGAGATGAATTCTCTGATACCCAGGGAGGGACGTGCTAGCTGCCTTCCTACCTGGATTGTATTTATGGGGGTTTTCTCGAGCATGGATTTTTTGATGTATAAAAAGGCCAGACCTTCTGCTGAAGGATTTGCCGCATTCTTTGCATCTATAGGATTTCTCAACAGTGTGGGTTCTTAGGTGTTTACAAAGGGATGCACTATGGCTGAAGGCTTTCCCACATTCCTTACAAATGTAGGGTTTCTCTCCAGTATGAGTTCTTTGATGCTGAATAAGAGCTGAACTTTGGCTGAAAGCTTTCAAACATTCTCTACATTTAAATAATTTTTCTCCAGTGTGGTTTTTCTGATGTTTACGAAGGGATGAATTGTGAATGAATGCTTTTTCACATATGTTACATTTGTACCGCTTCTCTGGTGTTTTGAGTTTTGGTTGGTTAAGTAAGTTTGAATTCTGCTTGAAACTGTTTCTTTGTATTTCATATTTTGAGGGTGTCTTTTCTCTATCAACCCTCTGTTGTTTAACAAAGACTGATTTCAGGCTGAAATTTTGGCTAAAGTCATTGTTTTTATGGCTTCTTTCTACAGTGAGGATTTTTGTATGGGTGATTGAAATTATTTGTAAACTTTCATTTTTGTCTTTTTGTTTTTTAAATCCATCTTCATATATGCAGGGTTTTTCTGATATGAAATTCCAGGGTTCATCCCTTTTGAGTCTTTTTCTTTTTAGACCCGGAAATGATGAATCTTGGGTTTGAGTTGACTTTGTAGTTTTAGGACTTCTCTTACATCCTGGAAAAAAAAAAAAAACCCACTAATGATTCACATGATGGGCTGAGACTTAACATGTAGAAAGAATAAATATTAATGATATTTAAATAAGGGCTTGCTTTCTGGCTAGAAAAGACTAGCAAGAGGGAAAAATAGGAAAGTAACACATAAAACAATAACGGATAAGGGCAGAAGGGTTAGAGTGACTGAAAGAATAAAAGAAGCTCATTTATGGAAGGCAAGAGTGTATGAGTAACAGGAGAATCAATGAGGAGACAGGATTAGAAGAGAATGAATTAAGTGCAGTCTGGTATCCAAAGCCTATGACAGACTTACACATTATTTCCATGACATTGTTCTCATTTATGTAATTATTTCTAATGTTGAATGTCATTCCTCCTTTTCCTACATGCCAGGTTTCTCTGTGGCCTTCATACTCAGTGCCAGTGTTAACTCCTCTGTGTACCCCTTCCAGCTTCAACAATCCATTACCCTAATATACCACCTACTGAAGTATATTATAATGTATGTACCTAGGGGGGAAAATTATAAATATATTTAGAGACAATGAGAAAGCCTTCAAAAAAATTCAGCACTATTGATAGTAAAAACTTCCAAGAAAATTGGAATTGAGGGATACTCCCTCAATATGCTAAAATACATATGCTTTATCATTCAAAATAAAATATGCTAAAATATTTTAGTTCTAAAACCAGTAAACTATTTAATGAAGAAAGACTAGAGGCATTTCCAGTATGATCAAGAACAAGGGCAGCCTGGCTGGCTCAGGTGGTAGAGCATGTGACTCTAGATGTTGGGGTTGAGTTTGAGCCCCACATTAGGTGTAGAGATTACTTAAAAATATCTTTTTTAAAAAAATAAGATAAGGATGCCCATTATTTTCCCTTCTGTTCATCATTATACAAGATGCCTTAATCTGTTCAGTGACAAGGATGAGTAAAGTGGAAATGAAGAAATAAAACTACCTCTATTTGCTGGTGATATAATACCCTATCTGTATAACTCTAGAAAATCAATGATAAAACTCTTATCAGTGATGTAGGAGGATATAAAAGTAACATGCTGAAGTCAATAACTTTCATTGACACTAACAAAAAATTAGAGAGATGGATTTATAAGAAATATAGAAAACTTATCTGAGGAAAATTTCAAAACAGTCTTGATTGACATTAAAGTACACTTGAACAAATAGAACAGCCTCTCCAATTCTTGGATAGAACAACTCAATGTTATAAAAATATAAAGATATTTTAAAGAAAATATGTAAATATATTTTAAATCCTATATAGAAATCAGGATTTTTTTAACTTTAGCTGGATTTTGAGCATGGGTAATTCTTTGTCATGGGGCTTCCCTGTGCACTAGCACCTAGCCTTTCCCCTACTTCCACCCTTCTTCAAGCTGTGACAATCCAAAATGTTTCAAAACATCAACAAATGACAAAATCACCCCCCTACACACACAGAACCACTGGTATAAATGAAATAAACATGATAAGTGATAACTGTCAAAATTGGGTGATGGATACACAAGAATTCATTACAGTATTCTCTCTACCTACACATACATGTTTAAACTTTTCATAGGGAAATAAATTAAATCTTCTTCCACTTCCTGTTGCTCTTTGTATTAAGAGTGCATAGATTAATCTTTTTCCTCTTCAAGGTCATATCTAATAATAGACCAGCAATTTTAAAAGGTTTTGGCACATGAATTTAAAAATATCAATATACAAAGGAAAAGATCTTTAAAAAATACTTTAACTTAAAAAAAATACTTTCTAAGTAGAAAATTAGAATACTTACAGAATGACAAAGCTTATATTTAAATAGGAAATATCAAAGCCTTCTGGGTAACTCAAGACAATGCTAGGTAGAAAATAAACTATCAAAATTATTTCCCCAAATGATAAATAATTCCATAAGTATGAGACTTCTATCCAAATTGTTAACTTGAGCATTACTTGAGAAAGAAGAAAGAAAATGCCAAAACTTCTAAAAATAAATATGAATTAAGGAAAAAGTGGACATCAAGGAAGATGGCAGAGTAGGAAATTCCAAGGTTCTGTCTCCCCATCTAGACAACAAAGGAACTGACAAAATTTGGCTATTCAATGATTTTCAAACTGTAGAATCTAACTGATGGCTGGCAGCTTCTAGGGGAAAGCCTGCTTGAGAAATTGTAGTTCATCGCAGTCAGTAGCAGCTACCCATGCCCCAGCTCCCAGCGCCATGGCAGGCAGCTGTACTAACACTCGTTGGACGGCTTACAGGAACCAAGGTGACAACAGGAAACTTGCTCTTCGATTATTTGTAGATATGGGTCCTGACAGGATTATTGCTTGTGGTCACGGAGGTAAAGACACAAAGGAAACCTTCCATTGTTGCCCAACTGGCTGAAGCAGCTGCGAGGGGATTTAAGGGACAGAACCTGTCTTCCCCCTACCCTCTCACACTCACATTTTACGTTTTTCCCACATTGGGGAACCACATATTTAAGTATAAGGATAAGGACAGTCAAAAGTAACTGCATATGTGGGAAATTTAGAAAGTTGCCATAAATGCCAAGAGAAAGATAACGACTCAGAAGAGACGTGAAAAAAAACCTTTACTGTATTGTGTCGGGCTGGTTCATGGCACAAAGACACCTGACAACAACAAAAAAATCAACTACCATTTTCCCCTGTTATAAAGTGATTTTATTGAATTGATGAACATACCATAGGTCAAATAATATTTTCCAAAGATAATAATTAGGGACTTCAAAGCTCAACATAAAATTAGTAGCTTCAGTAGTATTAGCCATATTCCCCAGCAACAGCATGATAAAATTATTATGTTAGAAATACAGAACTCTAGGACTAGCTAGAAACTTGGCAGTCACTTAGCGTAATATCTTCATTTCATGAGAAAACTAGACTCAGATGTTAAGCGATTTGCCCAAACTCAAATATGTAATAGTAATAAAGCTGGAAATCAAACCAATTTTTCCCTAAAACTAAAATTTGATCAATATTTCAATTGATTCTCTAGGAGCTAAAAACCTAGGCTGTTTGCTAATGTGACAGAAAGTATTAATGGGATGCCTGGGTGGCTCCAAGGTTGAGCTCAGGTCATGATGGGATTCAGGGATTGAGTCTCACATTAGGCTCCCCACAGGGAGTCTGCTTCTCCCTCTGCCTATGTGTATGCTTCTCTCTCTGTCTCTCATGAATAAATAAATAAAATCTTTAAAAAAAAAAGTGTTCAGACACTACAATAAGTCATAGTCCAGAGATTCAGGCCTGGAAGAGGCTTTATCAAATAACTTGTTAAAAGGAGGAAATATATGTGAAGGAAGTCACTCTGGGGAAGGAGGAGAATCTAATTCCCAGAGTTATGACATTATAAAATTCAAATGTCTAATTTACAACCAAAAAAATCACAAGGCACTCAAAAAAAAAAAAAAAAGATACATTTCATTCAAAGCAACAAGCAGACAAAAACCATCTATGAGGAAGAGGTGGCATACTCCACCAAAACTTTTAAACAATACTTTGCAAGATGCTCAGAAAGCCAAAGAAATATATGGGTAAAGGTCAGGAAAATGATTTAAAAAATGAAAAAATCAATAAAGAGGAAACACAAAAAGAAACCAAAATGAAATTCTAGAGTTGAAAAGGGCAATAACTGAAAAATTTCACTAAGGAGATTAAAAAAATCAGATTTCAGCAGGCAGAAGAGTCAGTGAACTCAAAGACAGGCCCTTAAAATTCCTGAGGAAGAAAAACAAAAAAATATTGAAGAAAGTGAACAGAGCCTAAGAGACCTGTGAGACACCATAAGGTGGACCAAAATAGCATATGGAAATCCTGAAAGGGAAAGGGAAAAGGAAAAGGGCAAAGGGCAGTGATACCATTTGAAGACAATGGCTGAAACTTCCCAAATTTGATATGAAAGATGAATCTACAAATTTATAAAGCATAATGAACTCCAAAAAGGAAAACTGAGAGAGACTGAGACACACCATCACCAAACTGTCACAACCCAAAGCCAAAAAAAGAGAATACTGAAAGCGCAAGAAAGAAAGAAGACTCATCACATACAAGGGATCTTCAATAAGATCATCAGATTTCTCATCAGGAACTTTGGAGGCTAGAAAGTATTGAGTTGGTATTGTCGGAATTCTCTATCTGGTAAACCATTCTTCAAAAATGACAAAGAAATTAAGACAATCCCACGCTGAGGGGGTTTATTACTACTAGACCTGCCTTGCAAGAATTGTTAAAGGGGGGATCCCTGGGTGGCACAGCGGTTTAGCGCCTGCCTTTGGCCCAGGGCGCGGTCCTGGAGACCCGGGATCGAGTCCCACGTCGGGCTCCCGGTACATGGAGCCTGCTTCTCCCTCTGCCTGTGTCTCTGCCTCTCTCTCTCTCTCTGTGTGTGTGTGTGTGTGTGACTATCATAAATAAATAAAAAATTTAAAAAAAAAAGAATTGTTAAAGGGAGTCCTTCAAATTAAAATGAAAGGATGCAAAGCAAAGTGATACAACATAAAGACCTCCAGTCAGGATGTAAATGTATGGTCAATATAAAAACCAGTATTATTGTAATTTTGGCTTGTAACTCCACTTTTTATTTTCCACATGATTTAAAAGACAAATGCATTTTAAAATCATTAGACTGTATTTTAAGGCACACAGCCTATGATGATGCATTTTGTGACAACAGTAACTAAATGGGGATAAAGATGGAGGAGAGATTGTGTACATTATTGTACTTAAGGTAGTATAAATTCGAATCAGAGTGGAATAAGTTTAGGATGTTAAATATAATCCCAATGGTAACCATAAAGAAAATACTTATATAATATATATAAAAGAAAATGGGAGAGGAATTAAAATGTTTCACTACAAAAAATCAACTAAACACAAAAGGAGACAGTAATGCAGGAAATCAGGGACAAAAAGACATAAGGCATAGAGAAAACAAATAGCAAAATGGCAGAAATAGGTCCCTCATTATCAGTAATTACCTCAGATATAAATACATTAACTTAATCCTCCAGTCAAAATACAGATATTGGCAGAATGGAGGGAAAAAAAAACATTTCTAACTATAACCCGTAACAAACTCACTTCTTTTCTTTTTCTTGAAGTATAATTAACATACAATGTATATTAGTTTTAGGTATACACTATAAGGAGTCAACAATTCTATACATTACTCATTGCTCATAAAATAGGTATACTCTTGATCCTCTCTATTTCACCCCTCTCCCCACCCACAGTAACCACCAGTTTGTTCTCTGTATTTCAGAGTCTGTTTTTTGTTTGAATAAGATTCACTTTAGGGATCCCTGGGTGGCGCAGCGGTTTGGCACCTGCCTTTGGCCCGGGGCGCGATCCTGGAGACCCAGGATCGAATCCCACATCGGGCTCCCGGTGCATGGAGCCTGCTTCTCCCTCTGCCTGTGTCTCTGCCTCTCTCTCTCTCTCTCTCTCTGTGACTATCATAAATAAATAAAAATTAAAAAAAAAAGATTCACTTTAGATCCAAAGACACAAATAGGTTGAAAGTGAGACGATGGAAAGATACTTAATGAAAACAGAAGTACCAAAAGATAGTTGGAGTGGCTATATTAGTATCAGACAAAATAAACTTTAGAAAACAAGTTATAAGAGACAAAGAAGGATGATGTATATTCATAAAAAGTTTCCATTCAGTAAGAAGGCATTACAGTTATAAACATTTACATACTTAATAACACATCCTCAAAGCTCATGAAGCAAAAATGAACAAAATTGAAGGCAGAAATAGTCTTATAATACTTGGAGACTATAATACTCTATTCAATAGGGAATAGAACCACCAGATATAAAGAATAAATAAGGGACTTGAACAACACAATAAGCCAACTGGATTGAATGGATACATACAGAACCTGCTATCCATCAAAAACAAAGACACATGAAAAAACAGACTTAACTCTAGAGAACTAATGGTTACCAGGTGGGAAGTGGGTGGGGGATGCAGAGAAACAGTTGATGGGAATTAAAATACACTTACCATGATGAGCACCAAGTACTGTATGGAAGTGTTAAATCACTATATTGTACACCTGAAACTAATATAACCCTGTATGTGAATTATACTGAGGTAAGGAAGGGAAGGAGGGAGGAAGGAAAGGAGGAAAGAAAAAGAGAAACAAAGAGAGAAAGAAAGAAGGATATCTCTCTGTAGGAAGGATAGTTTGATATGAAATGTATATACACCTGGTAAAGCCTCTGTGAACATTGTAACCCAAGGATGTTTTTGTGTTTAAGTAGGCTCCACACTGGGCTCCACTGGAATTCACAGCCCTGAGGTGGAGACCTGGGCTGAGATCAAGAGTCAGATAATTAACCCCTAAACCAAATGAGCCACCCAGGTGCAAACCAAGGATATTTTATTTCAGATCCTAGGAGCCATCTCTTTGAAATGTAAAAATCAAGAAGGAAACCAGGTTTTGTGAAGGGGAGTGAGACAACCTGATTTCCCTTTTAATAAAGCATTCTGGCAGCTACAGAAAAGAGGCTAGTGGCAGGAGGGAGGTGCAGGACCAGGCAGGAGTCTGGGTGGGGGTGGGGGGAAGGCAGAGGACAAGGACAAGACTGACCCAAACATACTAGAGATTCCAACCAAGCACCTCCTAAAAGGTTCACTCTTAAAACCACCACCTGCTGGGTCACTTGGCTGCAAAGGCCAACACCTCTGTGCTAATTAGAAAAAGACAGACCACCTTCTGTGCAGGGGTGGGGGCAGCCCCCAGGTGACCCATCAGCTGACCACACAGCACAGGGACAATCCCCCTACCAGGCTTCTTGCACTTAATGACAAAGGAGGACAAAATGATGTGAAAGAAAAACACATTTTCACTTGAGGCTATTTGCATTTTTAACTTGTAGATTTCAAGAATATTTCCACATATGAGTGTAGAGCAAACTCGCTGTGTACAAGCTGGTTTAATCACCTTGTTACAAGTCTTTGAGAAAAGGGCCACCTCACTTGTGCTCTTAAGAGACTCTGAGGAGACACACACCCTTCGTGCCATCTCCTTCCAGCTCTCAATTCAAAACATATACATGCGGGGGTGACCATTTGTTTTTCTTTCCTCTGTTTTTCCTATTTGTGAATAGTTTTGAATTTTTTTTTTTTCAAAGGACATTTGGAGGCTGCTAGAGGTTCCAGCCCTGCCCAGGGAGCACAGTCTTTTCTGTCCTTGGCTGTGCAAAGGGTGGGTTCGGGTTCTGGTCCAGGGAAGAAGCTGAAGTACTTCCAGAACATGCTGGCCCCTCCCTCTGTGCTCACAGGGAATGAGCTGCCCTCAGGAGAAGAAGCTGTTCTGAGGCCCCTAGTCCAGGCAGAGGGACTCTCCGCAGGGGTGCAGCACTCCCAGTGCGACCCATGTGACCCCCATCTCTGAGGAAAGGGGAGGTACATCGCTTCCAGAAAAACGCACTGCTGGTCAGAGTGATGACCTTCCTTCCCTCAGACGCCCACCCATGGCCGCCCTCAAACATCTCCCTAAACCTGAGAGGAGGCTCCCTGGGGACTCTAACCCCATCACCCAGAGGCCCCAGCACCTCTCCAGACAGCTTTGGACTCCAGGTACACTTTACATTCCCCTAAACCCAAAGAGCACTTGCTTCAGTCAGAGAGAAAGTCATCCATTGATCAAAGGCTCCCTGGGCCAGAGGACAGGGAAGGACCCCTTCCTCTCTTCTTCCCATCGTTGGTCCAGCCTCCACTCGGGTGCCCCAAGTGACTGAAGCCCCTGCTGACGCTCTGCTGGCGCCCTGGTGTGGCCTCCTGTGCGACCTTGACCACCTTCCACATGCTTCGTGTCTTTCTCCCAAACCAGAGTTACAAAGACAGATGGACAGGCAAGGGTAGTTCCCACAGCAAAAACCTCAATGTTGGGTGGGAAGGAAGCTCTCCTGTCCTGGGTGCTTGGGGACCGCCCACCCCCCAGCTTCTCAGTGGGGCCCATGGGATGACCAGCCATCACTGCCGCGTCAGGACCAGACAGCAGCTGGGACAAGTTCCCACTCCCGTGCCAGCAGCTCCCCACAGGCAGATCTCAGCAGGGTGTGAACCGGGAGCCTTAGCCAGGCTATTCCCACTCCTCAGGCTCCCTGCCTGCCTCTCAGACCCAGACAGCATCCTGCATCCGGGATCCCTGGCTCAGTGGGATCGGGTCCCTGCCCCTCTCCCCTGGCTCCCAGCAGTACAGGCTGGTTTCCTTTCCCTGGGCTCACACAGTCTATTCCTGGGCCTGGACGACAGCCTGCATCCCCAGGTCTCCATGCTGGCCCTCCTGCTGCAGTGCTATGCCACGCAGTGTCTCCCCTGTGGGATCATGCTGAAACCCGCATGCGCTCTGTGCACGATCACTCGTCTCCCCACTCCACCATGACCCCCGGCTGGCAGGACCTGTGTCCTTTGTCCAAGATCACACCACCAGGGCCCAGCATGAAGCTCATGCACCGTTCACTATGGGGCAGGAAAGCAGTGGGTGCAGGTGTGACCTGGATCCTCTCACACTCCTCAGCTCTCTGTCCCCAACTCCCAGGACCACTGTCCCTCCTCTGTCTCCTCTGATGACTTCTCGGGCACAGCCAGGTTCTTCTTCCCTAACCCACCTCCTACATGGGGAGGGATCCTGTCCTCTGCTCTGTGCCCTCTCCTGGTCAGCTTGAGGTCAGATGCCACCTGTGTACCTGACGGCTCCCTGACCTCCCTTCGAGTCCCTGCAGACCTCATACAGCCGCCCACCTACACCTCTACCTGGGCATGCCACTCCCATCTCAAGTGAGAGTCACCCCCCAGTGCCCTCGGCCTACACCCGTAAACAGGGGCCCATCCGCTTCCCTCCCAGACCCCGCTGCACACCCTAGAAACATCCCACCTACCTTACTGCAAGTGTCTCTGGGAAGGTTCCACATCAGGGATCCCTCACTTTACATGCATCCCCCACAGTGCTTCCAAAGTGACCATTCTATTAAATTCAAATTACGTCAGGCCTTCATGAACATATTCTCTATGAAATGTTAAGGTTACACATAACCAAAGGACATTCTTTGATCCCGCCGCTTCTAGATCCCATTCCGAGCAGAAGTACTGGAAGCAGCCGAGGTGTGTCCCCTGCCCTTTCTGTCTGCACCTCCACACAGTCATACACAAGCAGCCACATACTCTCCCTCCGCATCAGCGCTGCCGTCTCAGCTGGGGCTTGCCCACCTGCCCCACAACACAGTCCACACCAGCATGCTCTCTTTTTGACTGTGGCACTCGATGCAGGGGCAGGGACTGGCCAGCCCAGCCGTGCCCTTATCGAAAGACATTTACATTGTTTCAGATTGAAGCCAATTTTTCTAAAATAACAAAAACATCAGTCTGCTGCTTAAAAGCCTTCATTTCCATGGGATGGTCCTATCTACAACATTCCTGTCAAAGCACGCTGGGACGCGGGTCCTGCTGCCTCTCCACACCCTTTCCTTTCTCAGCTCCTCTCACACACACCCTAAACCTCAGTCAGGATCATTCTCTGCCAGTCCTTAAACACAGTTTGCTGCTGAGTACCCGATGTGCAGCCCTCTTCTGAAAACAGGAACAAATGAGGGCAGATCATCTGGGAAGCAGCGATCACCACAGAATCAGAGGAAGCTCGCACCTGGGGCCTGAGTGTCCCCTCTCCACCACCTCTTGACGACAGGCCAGAAGAAACTTTCCCCACTGACCTCTCCAAGCTGCGCCATCCACTTTCTACCCAGACTGCTGCCCACACCGGTTTCTTGGGCGCCTCAGGCCCACCCACTCACCTAGGGAGGGGCCTCCAGGACTTTCTTTCTCCACCTTCCAGGGATCTTCACCTCGCTGCAACAGGGAGATCACTTTTGGTTTGGAAAACAGGAGTCCTGCTCATAGCCCCCCCCCCACAAAAAAAAAAGGAAAGAAAGAAAAAAGACATCGTTTTGTTATGACTCAAAGAGGCACCACAGATCTGAATGGAAAATTCAGGGGTTGGTGGTCACTCTGTGCCCAATGACATGTGGGGTGTGTGTAAGGGGAAGGGCAAGGGACCTGTAGGACCTGTGGTTGTGCAATAATTAGCTGTATGTTAGAGAAATACAATAAACATGCAGCTTTGATTCCTGGAGTACTGATGGCCTTCTATAGAAGAGGGCACATGTTATTAGATGTTCAGACTAAATGTTTATAGACAGGTACCTATGTACCAAGATACTGTGTACCACGTCCTCTATTTAAAACGAGAAAGCACTATCTGACTGTCTCTCAAAGATGGACTCTACAATGTTTGTCAGGCTGGAAAAGAGAATTGGGAAGGGCTGGTGGCAGGTTAATGAAGATGGTTGAGGGATGCCCTCTGCTGTGAGCTGAGCAAACAAAATCATGGAAAATCAGAGCAGGAAAGCACTGCCTGAACTATGAGGGAGTCTCCAACATGCAAGTATGTCACCTGTCCCATGGATGGGACAGATCCCTGTAAGGGGGAAAGAGTTTTAAATATTTATTTTTAATTTATTTTTTAATTTATAACGTGTAGAATCCTAATGCAAAATTCAGCTACAAGTTCCTGATGACCTATGGCTTTTACCCAGGGAAGCAGGTGCTGTCTTATGCTAACTTCTGACTTTGTCATCTACAGGGAAAATTGCCTTACCCAAGGAGACCAGGTTACTGTAGTTCTCCAGCATCACTTCCTGGTACACGTGTCTCTGAGAAGGACCCAGCTTCCTCCACTCATCCCGGGTAAAGAGCACAGCCACGTCCTCGAAGGTCACTGACATCTATAATGACAAGCCATCCCAGCTCACCAGGTCCTCCCATCACACAGACTAAAGAAGGGAGCAGTGGGGGTAGGGGTATGGGGTGGGTGGGCTGCTATGAAATGCTGCTGCTGCTGCTTCTTCTTTGTTTTTAAAGATTTATTAGAGAGAGAGAGAGAAAGCTGGAGTGGTGGTGAGAAGCAGAGGGAGAGGGAGAAGCAGACTCCCCACTGAGCAGGGAGCGCCTCCTGGTGGCTCAATCCCAGGACTCTGAGATCATGACCTGAGCTGAAGGCAGACACTTAACTGACTGAGCCACCCAGGCAACCCCATGAAATGCTTCTGTTGTCATTCTGGTTTTGAAGGTTTGAGGTCATTTTTTTAATGAACCATCAGCCGGCGACAAATACCTACACTGAGCAGCATGAAGTATTAACCAGGCCCTTATAGTTAACCACTCTAAGGAGACATGAGGAGGAATTAAGACCACTGGTGGGAGTGTTGATTAGAATAATCTTTCTGATGACAGTTCGACAATACCTATTTAAAGCTTTAAAATGTGCATATCTGTTAACTTATCAATTACTGTATTTGTATCATAATTAACAGTGCCCCCAAAACGCACATCCAAGGGTATTTATAATCCTGTTAGTGATTGCAAAAAAACATAACCCAAATAATCACTGATGCAGGCTAGGTCAACTAACTTAAGGCATACTGAAGACAGAGGACAGTAATAATGGAAAATTAAAACAGCTATCATTTATTGAATGCTATCTCTAGACCAAGTACTGTTCCTAGAGATTTATATTAACTGTTACTGTAAACATCTATCTTCACACCGATCCTATAAAATAGGTACTATTATGCCCCCATTTTATACAGGAAAAAAACAAAGAGAAATTTGTCCACATCAAACAGCTGGCATAGAGGAAAACTCATTCCTCCTGTGTGTCTACCGTCAATACTACCATACTACTTTACTTCTGACACCGGACGTGGATTTTCCACACCCCAAGCAACTGTGTGACAACAGCTAGGTGTCCTAAATTTGACTTAATTCTCATACCATCTACCTGGAGAGAGGGTCAGATCCCACAGGTTAAGGGCTCAGTCCCACCACAAGACTGCCCCAACTTCAGATGCCAATCCCAAGTCCAGGTTGTTACCTATGCTTCTGACCAACCGGCTATGAACTGGAGGTTTCTACAACTCCTTCCTTGGGTTGAATTAATTTGCTCATGTGGCAAATGCAGGAAAGTGCCACAGGGTAGGGAAGCATTTCCTTACTAGATTACTGGTTTATTATAGAAGGATGTAACTCAGGAATAGCCAGATGGAAGAGATGCATTTGGCAAGGTATGTGGGAAGGCAGGCGGGGCTTCTATGTCATCTCTGGATGCACCACTTTCCCCCTACAAGTATTTACCAACCCAAAAGCCCTTTGAACCCTGTCCCCTTGGGGTCTTTTGGAGGCTTCATTGCATAGACACAATGGATTAAGTCACTGACCACTGTGTAGGCAAGACTAGCCCCTGGGATGGGGTGGAAGGCCTGAAAGTTCCAACACTCGAATCAAGGTTGGTTCCCCTGCCAACCAGCTCAGATCCTTAGGGGCATTCCAAAAGTTACCTCATTCCTATCAACTCTGGCTTAGTCAAAATGGTTCGTTATGAATAAGAAAACACACCCATTTCACCTTTATCGCTCTGAAGTTTTTCAAGAACAAAAGCCAAGGGATCCCTGGGTGGCGCAGCGGTTTGGCGCCTGCCTTTGGCCCAGGGTGCGATCCTGGAGATCCGGGATCGAGTCCCACGTCAGGCTCCCGGTGCATGGAGCCTGCTTCTCCCTCTGCCTGTGTCTCTGCCTCTCTCTCTCTCTCTGTGACTATCATAAGTAAATAAAAAAAAATTAAAAAAAAAAAAAAAGAACAAAAGCCAAATATTACTAATCACTTAGTTTTCCAAACCCTTATAATTTCCTATGTGCCAGGAACAGGGGTGAAAACCCAAAGACCAAATATACATTATTTCATGTTATATATCACAATATCACAGCTGGTTAGGGGTGGAAGTAGAATTTCAATCCAGAGGAGATCCAAAGCTCCATTCTTAACCACTCTGCAAAACTGCCTCTTGATGTCTAGCTCATAGAGTTAAGAAATAAATGAGACCATCTATATAATGGAGATAGGTAGTGGTGATAGGTGCACAACAATGTGAATGTACTCAATGCCATTCAGTTATACACCCAAAAGGTTAAAGTAGTAAATGCTACGTTATGTATATTTTCTCAAGCTAAAAAAGTTAAAATGGTAAAAAAAAAAATGTGTATATGTGTACATATAGATACATAAATAAAAAACAATGGTGAGCAGAAAATGAGTCTAATGGACATATCCCAAAGAGGTGACAGTGACTATCTCTATATATTCATTTCACGTTCTTCTTTACGTATATATTTTTTATGCTCTGAAATTTTAATTCATAATTTAAATTATAAATATATAATTTATTGGCACATGGGGGGAGTATAAGAAATAATCTTAGCCCTCAAAAGAATTTACATTTTAACTGGCAGACAAGATAAACGCATTAAATAATTTGATCAAAGAAAGAAAAGTTGTAGCTGGACAGTACCATACACCATCTCCCAGTTCAATCCTCATTTTAGAGTTGAGGACCAGAAGGTCCAGGGAAGTCAAGACCCCAGGCCACATACTTTATCAGCAGAAGAGGCAGCACAACAATATTTTCTTTTTACTTGGCCCTCAGCATATTCACTCTCTGGTCTTCAAAGCCCTGTCCCTGAGTTTTACACACCAGCCCACGCAGTACTGACATCCAGGAGCAGGTGAGGTTAGAGAGAATGCCACATGGATCCACTCCCTTGCAGGGATGGAGAAGATTCTGGGCAAGAAGAGAGCAACATGGCTCTGCTGGAATGGAAGAGGAAAGCTTCAGAAAAAAAGCAGCCTAGATGTGCACTGGCCGGCTCTGGCCTGAAGATCCACCACCGCCACATCCCATAAGCTCCAAACCCAACATCACAGTGAAGACCTCTGGGACACCGGGCTAGTTTGCCCCAGTTTCTGAAAGGGGCACCAGGGGAATGGCTAAGCAGTAACGAGCGTGGACCCAGAGGCCAGACACACTGGGTTTGAATTCAAGTTACCGGACATCTCTGAGCCTCGGTTTGCTCATATGTGAAATGGGGATGATAACTGCTGTCTGGCGTGAGAGTGAGAGTGAGAACAAAGGCAAAGCCCTCAGGCCGACCCCCAATGATAGGAACTGTTACCGTCAGATGAAGAAGAGCAATGAAAGGACACATCCTAGGACACGGTACAGCAGTTCCCACCTGTCAGCACTAATGGTATTATTACTAGTCACATCATTCTGCTCCCACAACCACATGAGGAGCATCTGCCTGCCAGTGCCCGGCCCTGATTAAACACTTCCCATGCACTCACTCACCTGATCCTCTCACCCAGCCTACAGGGAGGGCATGCTTGCTATTCCCAATGTCCAGGTGAGGAATGGGCATAGAGAGACGGAGCTATTTGTCCAAGGCCCACAAACAACCACTGAGGAAATGGGTTCAAGCCCAGCAGTCTGGCTCAAAGCCCTGCTTCTTACCCACTGGAGACCCTGCCTCTCCACTCGTAATATCCCACAAACCCCCTCCCTGCTGTCTCCTGGAGAGTCTTCTCTCTGCCCCCACAGTCAGGAGATCTCTCCAACTGTGTCCCCTCCAGCACAGCTATTCCCTGTTGATGCAGGGGCTCACTGGGACGGGGCCCCTCCCGTTTCCAACAACATAAGGATGAACATGGCCGGTCAAGAACAGTTTCCAAGAGAGCTTAGAGGCAAAGTAAAAAGGGAAGATAAAAACCTAACAACGATGGATTGTTGAAGCCTAGGGAAGGTATCCTCAAGAAAAGCCAAGGGTAGGAGGGAGACGAGGGCGAGCCTAGGAAGCAGGGCCAGAAAGCAGCTGCCAGGTGTGCATTTTTGTGCCTCTGTTAGGAAATGAAAGGAGAAATACGAGACATGGATTGGTGGGGAAGGAGGTAAGCATTCCCTACAGAATCCAGCATCCGCCAGGCGGACCAGCTCTGCCAAGGGAAAGGGCCTTGCGCAACAATCCTGCAGAAAGCTGTACTGAGTAGAGAACTTCAGTTTGAGGGTGGTTAAGCAAGCAACTAAGTCAATCAATCAATCTGTCAACCTATCTATCTATCTATCTATCTATCTATCTATCTATCTATCTATCATCATCTCTAAGGCCTGAGATGGCAATGAACTCACTCGAGACCTTGCTTCTCTCTGTCCAATAGCCATATCTTCTTTCTGGGCTCTTCCCCAAGGGTGGGTGGAGTCTCCAGGAGGCGGATCTGAAAGAGGAAAAAGGGAGCCAGGAGGGAGAAGCCCCTTCTGCTTTCCACTCCTGGGAATCACCGGCTCCGAAATCCTTACACCCCCCGAGAATGACGCCTCGTGCCCTCAGAGGGGGAAGCCAGACGGAGCTGGGGGCAGACAAGCCCAGAGACAAGGGCCAGCCCTCCATGGTCCCGGCCCCAACTCTTGCCCCCGTGGCTCGGAGAAATAGGACCTGGGACTCCAGCTACAGCAGCGGCAGCGGCAGCGGCAGCGGCGGCTCCCTGAACCTCCCCCACCCGCCGCACTTGTCAGCGCGCCTACTTCGCAGATCAGGAAACTGAGGGCAGAGTGGGAGCCACTGGCCCCAGCGCACACCGCCGGCGACGGCGCGCGGGATCCGCACCTGCGCCTCCAGAGCACCTGCTCTCACCTCACCGCCTGCAGGGGACAACTTTTCTGCAGCTCGAGCTGTCCCCACCCACCTTCTCCTCCTCCTGTCAGGGAACCTCCCTCCAGGTTTTTGGAAAGAAGTGCTTCGGGAAGGGCTGACAGCAGTGTCCCTGCGCCGGCCCGAGGGCCGCCGTCCGAGGAGCGGGCACTGAACCCGAACACGTGCGTTCCAGGTCAGCTCTGCCGCGGGGGGAGGGCGCGGGAGGGCGCGGGAGGGCGCGGGAGGCGGCAACTCACTTCTGGGAGAAAGCACGTCTCGGAGCCCGCAGCCCGGGAGGACAGGCGCCGAGGAGGGGCGGAAACACGGTCCCTCCCGCTCACCGACAGCCGGTAGCAAATCCAAGCGCCGGCCGGGCCCGGCAGGGAGCGCCCCGGGCTCGGGCCCGCAGGGGGCAGGAGGGTGGCCGGGCCTGGGCCAGCGGGGACAAGCGCGCGACCTGCCGCGGTCAGGGGCGCGTCCGCGGGCGGCCGGAGCGGGGCAGGCGGGCACGTCGGCGCAGCCCGGCCCTCGGTCCGCCCGCGCCCACAAAGGCCCCGCGCGCGGTTCTCGGGCCTGTGCCCCGCGCCCCGGCGCCGCATCCTCCCGAGGCCCCGGTCCTCCCTCCGGCCGGCATTCCGCCCACACTCCGCCGCTCACCTCGCCCAGGTCTCGGGGTCCCGGGGGCTGCGCCTCCTCGGCCGTGCTCCGCAGCCGGAGGCGCCGACACTGCCCCGGCGGACAGCAGCTTGGTGCCGGGACTGCCCCCGCCGGGGCGATGCCCGAGCGGCTGCTCGCTGTCCGCAGAAGCCGGGCGTCCAGAGAGGCGGGGCAGCGCGCGTGTTAGGGACGGCCGCTAACACCTCTGGGGAATGTAGTCCAGGCGAGGCCCCAGGCCTTCTGGGAAGTGTAGTTCTCCGCTACTTCCGGCGTGAGGCGAGGCGGGGCCGGGCATGCTGTCAGGTGGCCAGCTGCCGCTTCCGGGCACGCGGTCACGGCCCTCGGGCTGGGAAGTCAGTCTGTGGCTGCGCGTTTCCAGCGAAGGAAACGGAGGTGCGTTGAGGACGGTGTTTCTTGTGGCTCGGCATCTGCATAAATGATAGTAAGGTAAGTAGACAACCGCCGAGAAAAACCCAATTACCCTTCAGTCATTTAGGCAGAGTGTTTCGAGAACCTTCTTGAGGCAAGCGCTGCCTAAGCGGTTGGGAACCAGTCAGTGAACAAAGGTAATAGATTTCGAGAACTTCTTTGGAGGGTTGGTAGGGAGCAGACAGTAAGCTGTGAACATAATTATTTAATGTTTTAGATGATAAGCGTTATGGGGAAAAGTGAAAGGAACGCAGGGTGATGGGGTCCCCTGGCAGCCTCCCCCGAGAAGCAGGCGAGGGGCACTGCAGGCTCGGAGAAGCAGATGCTCTCTTTTCTTTTCCCTAGGGGAGCATGTCCCTTCCAGAAGGCTTTATAAATAGAAAAAAGTAGAAGAAGAATGCACCTGACGCCACCGCACAGAAGTGGTTAGCGTTTTGGTGAGCCTCTTCCACGGCGCGTTGCACTCCACGTCAATCGCTCCATCGCTGCTGACCTCCTTCTATCAGAATGGGATCTTGCAACAGCAGTTGTAACCTATTTCAGTTTTTTCCCCCACTTATGAATGTGCCTTGAACATTTGAATTTGCCAATATATACTCTCCCTCGGTAATGTTTTGAATGGCTTCAGTGCATTCCATTCTAATTACATTTTTTAGTTAAATACATTTAACTAGGGAGGCCTGGGTGGTTCAGCGGTTGAGCGTCTTTCTTGGGCTCAGGGCGTGATCCCAGAATCCCGGATTGAGTCTCACTAAACTAAGCTTATTTAACACCTGTTATATTATTTCCAGGTTGTTTGTTTGTTTGTTTTGCTCCGTTAATATTCTTGTACCTATATCTTTTTGTTTTTTAAAGATATTATTTATTGATTCATGAGAGACACAGAGAGGCAGAGACACAGGCAGAGGGAGAAGCAGGCTCCCAGTGGGAAGCCTGATGCGGGACTGGATCCCAGGACCCCAGGATCACACCTGAACCAAAGGTGGATGCTCAACCCCTGTACCTATATCTTTGGAGATTTTTTTTTTTATAGTTTAAAATTCTTGAATTGAATTACTGGATCAAGGGGATCCCTGGGTGGCGCAGCGGTTTAGCGCCTGCCTTTTGCCCAGGGCGCGATCCTGGAGACCCGGGATCGAATCCCACGTCGGGCTCCCGGTGCATGGAGCCTGCTTCTCCCTCTGCCTATGTCTCTGCCTCTCTCTCTCTCTCACTGTGTGCCTATCATAAATAAATAAAAATAAATAAATAAAAAATTAAAAAAAAAAGAATTACTGGATCAAGGACTGGTGGTATTCTAAGCCCATTGCCTAGTTGCCTTCCTGGGAGATCTTACAATCTTACAACTGTAAGCAGATGGCAATAATATGTGCTGTGCCTAGCACTCATGCCTACTCTGGGTTTTTTTGGTTTTGTTTTGTTTTTTAATCCTTTAAAAAAAAAAAAAAAACTCTTTTGGGATGCCTGGGTGGCTCAGCCATTAAGCCTTTGGCTCAGGGCGTGATCCTGGAGTCCCGGGATTGAGTCCCACATCGGGCTCCCTGCATGGAGCCTGCTTCTCCCTCTGCCTGTGTCTCTGCCTCTCTCTCTGTGTCATGAATAAATAAATAAAATCTTTTAGGGCAGCCCCGGTGGCTTAGCGGTTTAGCGCCACCTTCAGCACAGGGTGTGATCCTGGAGACCCAGGATTGAGTCCCACGTCGGGCTCCCAGTATGGAGCCTGCTTTTCTCTCTCTCTCTCTATCTCAAATAAATAATATTTTTAAAAAATAAAATATTTTAAAAAACAACTCTTGTTTATTCAATAGGGCAAAATTTTTTAAATTTTTTATTTTGTTTTAAAATTTTATTTATTCATGAGAGACACACAGAGAGAGAGAGAGAGAGAGGCAGAGACACAGGCAGAGGGAGAAGCAGGCTCCATGCAGGGAACCTGACATGGGACTCGATCCCGGGTCTCCATTTTTATATATGATTTTGAGTATTTGTGAAATTAAATATGATACCATATTTATTGATCATATTGCTCAGTCAACTTGATCTCACATGTATTGTGTATGTACTTTATTGAAGTTTTCAATTTTCATTTTGAATATGCATTATTTTTGTAAAGAGAAAAGTGCTTTGTTTACCTGAGTGTGAAAATAAAATCATAAGAAATTTACACATACTATGTGGAATGAAGAAATATTCATAAACACTGATTACATCTATTCATACATGTTATTGTGTGTGCTTACACATACTGGTGTGTCTGAAACAAAAATAGAATCATATTTTCCATACTTTTCAAAATGCAAAATATACAGAAGGGCAATTAGAACATGTAATCCAATAAGTACACATAATTATAAAGAGAATACCCCTGAAAACATTTCACCTAGGGTGAAAACATTCACCCTAATATAATACCCATTCTCATATTAGTAGTAGAATCTAGGTGATGGTATATGAGTGTTGACTATAAAATTCTTTCGACTTTACTTTGTGTTTGAAATATTTCATGATAAAATGTTGGGAAAAACTCTATATCAGGGGTTTTGAGCCTAAGCAGATGACCACTATTCCTCCTAGGTCATCCCTCTTAAAACTTAAAAAACTCTGGGCATGAATCAACAAGCATTGGAAGACTCCAAAATGTGAAAAGGAGAAGGCAAACTGTGAGAACTTCAGGGATGAGGAGTAACATGGTGGTAAATTCCTTTTTTTTTTTTTTTCCTTCTCACCACCTCTATCTTTCAGCTAATATGTTCCAGAAGCTTCCATGCCGGAACCTCTGATAGACACAGACCAAAAAAGATCTAAGCCTATTTCCCTTATTCAAAACCTGGAAAAGCGTGGCCTAACAGATTGGTAATACCCATCTACCTTCAATCAATCACCAGTAGAGAAACCACCCTCCCACCTCCATTTGAATCATGGAAGCCAGAGGAAGTTGCATATTTTTCTCAAGTGGAACTAAAGGAACTCTCAGTGATGAATCTCTATCCAGTGAACATATCATTCAGGAATAAAAGGGAAATAAAGACATTTCAAAAGGTAACTACAGAGTATTGTCAGCAAACCTACCTCCCCTTTTAAAAATATTTTATTTATTTGAGACAGAGAGAGAGCAAGAGTGAGAGAAGGGGGAGAAGCAGACTCCCCACTGAGCAGAGAGCCCAAACACAGGGTATCATCGCAGCCACTTAATCGGCTGAGCCACCCAGGTGCCCCAGCAAACCTACCCTTAAGGGAAAACTAAAGGAAATACCCTAAAAGTAAATGTTAACAACAAAGTCTTGAAACTGCTGAAAGAAAAGAACATCAGAATATGAAAAAATAGGGATATTATAAAATAGACTATCCTTATAAAATAAACTTAAGAGTTTCTTACATCAGACATGATAATTGAAGTAAAAATAACACCGTTTGATGTTCTCCATATACACAGTGGGAATACTTAAGACAATTATATTTTTAAAATGGGGAGGCAAAAGATCCTAAATGGAAGTAGGGTTTCTGTACTTGGCTGACTGCTAAATCATGTATGTATACTGTTGTATCTCGAGCAACCACAAAAAAAAAAAAAAGAAAAAAACTATATCAAGTGATGTACTCTAAAACACAGCATAAATCAAGATGGAATTATGAAAATGTTAGAGTGACCCTTGAGAAGGCTGGAAGAGAGACACAAGAGGACAAGAAGGAGGAAAACTGAAAACAAACTAAAAATCCTTTGTCTCACATTAATAAAATGGCTCACAGTAGGCTAGATACTAACTCTGTCTCAAGATTTTTCATTTTTGTTTTTCATTTTTAGATAAGAATAATAATTTTTAAGAAAACTTGCTACTGTAATAAGCCAGTCAAAAAGATAAATAGTGTGTAATTCTACTTACACTATGGAAAGTAGAATGGTGACTGCCAGGGGAAAGGGGAGTTAATTTTTAACTGGTATAGAGTTTTAGTTTTGCAGGATGAAGAGTTCTAGAGATGGATGGTGGTGATGGTTGCACGTTATGAATTTAAAACCACTGAACTATACACTTAAAAATAGGATGGTAAATTTCATTATATTTGTATTTTACCACAATAAAAACTTTTTGAAAAAAATCATGCTGCTGTAAACATTCGGTACACACTGATGTACCCCTTCATGTCTTTTTTGAGGATTTGCAAATGCCTGTGAATACATAGACTTTCCCAAGAGTGTATAATTGCTGATAGGTTTTTTTAAAATTGAAATGTAGTTGATATATACAGCATAGTTATTCAGTATTTATATAAGGAAGTGATCATGATGATAAATGTGGTCTGATTTCTTTCACTTAGCATAATAACATCTAGATCCATCCATGTTGCCACAAAATTTTTGATGGCTGAGTAATATTCTGGTGTATATGTATACCACATCTTCTTTATCCATTCGTCTATTATTGGACACTTATTTCCATTTCTTCACTATTGTAAATAATATTGAAATGAACATAGAAGTGCATATATCTTTTTGACTTAGTGGTTTTTCCCCCCTTTGAATAAATAC